TTTGATATCTCTAACAGATAGTACAGCTTATCCTGCCTTTTACACGGGGAAGGAATCAATCATATCAAACCTAAATTTCTCTAATTGATTTTCTGGTGAAACATTTTTAGTTCTAAAGCAACAATAAATAATCATATTAATGGTATTTTATCACAAGTATGAGTCAATTTTGAGTATGGTGTAATCCCTCCAAGCTAACCACGCATGTATTCTTGCTTTTCCTCTTAAATGTTATTAGCTCAGTCCCCTCTGCTTGTGTGAAAAGACAAAGAAGTTTTCCATTTCACTTGTTCCTGACAAAACCTATCTTCTCATACTGGGTATCCTTTTGACTTGATCCAAAAGATCGTCCATCATCAATATAAATCAACAATTTTTTGTTCCTACAGTACTTCGAGTGGAACTGTTATCTCTTTTATAACTTAACCTTCTCAAAAATATTACAAGCATAGAGCGGTTTTCAATTGAGTGTTGTAAAACCAAAACCAAAGTAATTGCTTTAGCCAATCACAAAAACACAGACAATACAGTGAACCAATCAAAGCTCAAAGTAATTGCATGTTGCTGACGCAAAGCACGGGAAAATGTGTGCGAGTGAGTCACGATTGCTACTGGTTTCACTTCTGATTGGATGAAGAACTGGCGCGGGTTTTTTAGCCAATTGTGTAGCATAGTAAGTGCAAAATCAACTACTTTTCGTCACTCTGAAGAAAACCGCTTTAATCTAGCCTTATGAATCACAGAATGGAACAGTTAAAAGCAACGAATCTTCTACTATCAATTTTGTCAGTCACCTACAAGTGCCCTGAGTAAAGTGAAACCTTCTATGAGAAGACATCTTGGGCACTGTTGTCCTGTGCCTTCTTGCAGTTTTCCTTAGTTTCTGTCTCCTTGCAAAAGGAAACAGAACTATTAAGGAATTATTATTATAGAATTATTAAATTACTACATAGACATTTAAATGAAGTATTGAAAGTAGTCTTTACATGCTTTTGAAATAANCCTATCTTCTCATACTGGGTATCCTTTTGACTTGATCCAAAAGATCGTTCATCATCAATATAAATCAACAATTTTTTGTTCCTACAGTACTTCGAGTGGAACTGTTATCTCTTTTATAACCTAACCTTCTCAAAAATATTACAAGCATAGAGCAGTTTTCAATTGAGTGTCATAAAACCAAAACCAAAGTAATTGCTCTAGCCAATCACAAAAACACAGACAATACAGTGAACCAATCAAAGCTCAAAGTAATTGCATGTTGCTGATGCAAAGCACGGGAAAATGTGTGCGAGTGAGTCACGATTGCTATTGGTTTTACTTCTAATTGGATGAAGAACTGGTGCGGGTTTTTTTAGCCAATTGTGTAGCATAGTAAGTGCAAAATCAACTACTTTTCGTTACTCTGAAGAAAACTGCTCTAATCTAGCCTTATGAATCACAAAATAGAACATTTAAAAGCAACGAATCTTCTACTATCAATTTTGTCAGTTACCTACGAGTGTCCTGAGTAAAGTGAAACCTTCTATGAGAAGACATCTTGGGCACTGTTGTCCTTTGCCTTCTTGCAGTTTCCCTTAGTTTCTGTCTCCTTGCAGAAGGAAACAGAACTATTAAAGAATTATTGTTATTGAATTATTAAATTACTACATAGACATTTAAATGAAGTATTGAAAGTAGTCTTTACATGCTTTTGAAATAANCAACGTGATAACTTTTGCCGGAGAACATCTGCTAAAAACACAAATCCGAGACTCCGAGACCTTGCGAAAAAAATTCGAGGCTCCAAGACCGAAAGGAACACATGAAAAAACTAAACTTCGTGACTTGTAACAAAAGCTTCCAAGATTTCAAGATCGGATCAAAAAGTTCCGAGATCTGCAATTTTCTGGGTAGCATTTGCCACACCTACTAAGCCACACTGTCTCCACATTGGACTGTAGCTGGGTGGTGATAAGGTGCTATGAGTCAAAGTTAAGGATTGTGTCCAAAATTTTCAAATCAGAAGTCTGACACACTAACCACTAGATCACTGCACCCTCCACATGTTCATGTAATGATACAATGTTTAATATACAGACCCTTTGCTGAATTTCTTGAATGGTGGTCTTATAACGCTTCTCTTGCTTATGACGCACTGCCGTCCAATTCTGACATTTGCTAGATCTCCACGGAGAATACAGTCAGACTGAATGATTGTCTGAAAAACGAATCGACAATTAGTATGTTTTGGATTGTTCTAGCTAAATTTACCCTCATCCAATATTGGATAGTTAGAAGTGATGCAG